AACATCAGGCTCTACTGGGACAGCACTGCGGTGTACTGGCACAACACCACTGTAATGGGATAGACGTAGCCCATACTGGCAATGCACCAAAGGCAACACTAGGGTAGCAGTAGGGCAATAGGAGGATGGCACTGGGGCATATGCAATGGGCACAATATCCTGAGTGTGAGCTGGATGTCCCTCCTGTGCATGCCCATGGCTACGCAGGTGCTTTGTCCCAGCAGGGTGGCAGCACCTGTGGTGCCCTTGTGGCATGTTGGTGGCCTTGTGGCATGCCAGTGGCCTGCGGCTGGGCACGCTGGAGGCAGCGGGCAGAGCGTGTGCCCTGGCACGGGGCTGTCCCTCCGGATGAGCGTCCTGGCTGCCGTGGGGCAGTGCCAGGAGTTGACAGCAAGAAGGGAACTCCGTGCTCAGGGACACAATGAGCAGACAGCCCATTTTATCGCCTCCCTGCTCTAAACCGGTTTGCGTCCGGCAATGAACCCTCCTGGGCTGGCGGAAGGCATATCCCAGCCCCCAGCCCAGCCGTCATCATCCACCCTTGGGGGTGCCAACGTCAATCTGGAGGGTGGCACTTGGGCAGCAAGAACCAGCCCGTTCCTGGTCCCACAGCACCAGCCCAGCAGTGCCGCAGCTTTGCCATTTCTTGCGCCCAGTCCTTGCCGTGAAGGTGCCATGCGGTGCCCAGGGCAGGAGGGGGAGTTTGGCCCTGCCGGTTGCCCCTGAGCCCGTGGTGGTGGTGAGACGGAGACGGCCATGCCAAAACGCCTTGCCCGAGGATTGCCAGTGCCAAACTCTACCCGTGTGTCCCTCCGGAGAGGGCTGAGCCACTGCTGCCCAGTGTGTTTGGCAGCGAAGAGTAGAGCCCGCCTTCCTCCCCTGGAGCTGGCCTTGGGGCGCTGAGCGGCACCACGGTAAGGATGAACTCCCTGCCAGCTTTGGGGTACCCCTGGTGAAGGTGCCGAGATGCCCTGCCCTTTCAACCCTAATGCTAGGACACTGCACGCTGCACCTCAAATCCCACCTCCAGCCAGTCCTGGCCCCGGGAGGGACCGCGGGGAGGCGGGGATCGGTGGCACCGGTCCCATAGGGGACCTGTACACCCAAGTAACCCTACCTGCACCCACCGCCCGCCCACGGGTGCCACCCTCAGCTGGGAAAGCCCACGGGTGGG